TGAGATAATGACATGAACATGCAAGCTCTCAGCACACTGCATGTATGGCAAACACGGTCAACCTAAGTCAATCTAAGCAACCCCTGCGTCAGCACAAGTTCGATGAGTGTGCACATGTCGAAAGGGTCTGACATACCTGGCAATCCGAAGTCGGACCTGAAAGAGAGTTGCCACAAGCGAAGGTACTTGGCCCCAGCGGTCATGTCCACACTGTATTCGATCCTGGCGGCCATCAAACATTCCACTTCTTTCCAAAAAGTAGGTGTTCTGTTGCAACTTCAGGTACTAACCGCCTGCAATGACCTGGGATCCACACGCGCCTCGACGAGGGTGGGAAGGAGTCATTGATCCACTCCGCGAAGGCCATGAGTTCCTCCTGGCACAGTTGAAATGAAACTTTGGCATCTTATCACGCCAATCTTGCCACAAAGGATTGCGGTTGAAATTGCATTGAACTTCAATCAAAACGATTGACCCACTTGACTTGCAATTTTCCGCTCAGACTCGACCATTGCCCGACAAGTCCCCCGTTTGAAACTAATGGTTCAGAGTCCAGAGTTGCAAATTTCCACTTTGCTTGGCCAGGCCAGTCTGAGCAGAAATGTGGAAGACTTGACCCTAGCCTGCTTCTTGTATTTTTGCATGAGATACCTGTCAGGGCCACCCTGCGGCACGACGATTGTCAGGAACCTGGGCCAAAGAAGGCCAAGAGATACTTTCAATCGGAACTTTGGTCTTCAGTCTATAATATCTCTTTCAAGCAAAAAGCCAGTCGCAAATCTTTCGGACGTGGGCGAACTTGGGGTCATCAGCAACGTCTGCTTTCTGCTGGCCCTTAGGCTTCTTGCCTGCGCGGCCACCTGCAGACCCTGACGAGACCCGCTTCCCCATATCGCGGACCCTGGAGAATCTATGAGCGCAAAGTGCAGCACATCACGACAGATTCACAGCAGCAGTGTAATACTTAGTTTGTGAACTGAAGGCTCAAAAAGGAAGAGGCAAACAGCTAAAGCAATGACATTCTATTTTCTCAAGTGCCCTGCCATTGTCTGAGTCCTTGCAGCATCCTGCCAAGCCGCTAGATTAAAAAAATGCATCCGACCCAAATTGCTTCTGACACAGGTGTCATAAACTTCACTCCTAGATTTCAAAGATTCAAAGGGCGCACTTTTCATACCCGCCATGATCACCCTATATAGTCGCGCAGCGCAGCGTTCAAGTTGAAGCCGATGAACCCCACTTGGGTGAACCCCACTTGGCGGTCGCCAAGTTCAAGGCCTTCCCCAACTGCACCACTTTAGCTTCCAAGTCCTCAACACGCTTCAGGATCGCTTTCAAATCAAGCTCTTCGGCTAAAATGCCCTGGCTTTGCGCTGGAACTTTGGTTTCCTGAAGCTTTGCCGGATCCATCAACTCCGCGTCCACAGTGTCCCACACATCAAGCTCCGCAGTGTCCAACACAGCAAACTCTTCAGCCACAGTGCCCTGGCTTTGAGCTGGAACTTTGGTTCCCCGAAGCTCTGCATGATCGATCATGCATTCACAGTAGTGGAGGAACATGCGGTGCTGCTGCTTTTTTGACAACATGGACTCGTGATCCAGAAACCACTGCACATAGGCTGGACGATTCAGCCAAACAGTCTCGAAGGTTTTAGTTGCATGGGTTTTGCCAAAACCCAACTTGGTCTCTGCAAGCTGCTGAAGGCTAAGGTGACAAAAATCCCAGTCGTGAACAATGTCTTTGGGCTCACCTGCGCGCAAAGCCTTCAGCCTTTGGCTCAGGGTGGGTGTAGTAGACATGCGGCGTCAGAACAGAAGTCTCTCTCTCTCTCTGTGGAGGAACGAATCTAAGACAATAAAACTACTTTGAGCCCACCTTCAGCTCTTGGTCGCACAATAAAACAATATTGAAATGACCATCAAAGGAAAGTCTGCTTCAGGACTTACTTCCATCATGAGGAATATCAATGGTGTCAGTGTCACCTGAAAATAAATGGCCAGCCAGCCATCCATTCCACATAGTATTCCTGCGCAGCAAGCTTGACTCGTGAAGCATTTGATTCATCGTCTGAGTGTTCAAAAAAGAACGTTCTAGTTCTGCTAGCCCTCGCCAAACGCTGAAAGAATATGAAAGAATGGAACATTGAACTTGCCAAAGGCCTCCTTTTTCGAGACTTGGTGGGGCCCGTATTGAACCCCAAAGAAACAAATTGAACTGCTGAATTCTGAGAGTCAGACCTCCTGGTTGCATCTCGTGATGATGGCTGACTGTGAAGACGCACCTACAGCAACGCGAGCATTTTGTGAAAGCAAAACCCGCTTGGGTCAGCCAAAGGTCAATTTGTGTGACTGATCCGACCTCTGATCAGTCACACGCACGAAGGTTTTGGTTTCCAAACATAGCCCAAAAAAACGAACTCAGAAAAACATAAGCCTCTAAATTGCATTGCCGCACCCAAATTTTCAGCCAGTCACCACCTGAATCTTCATCAAAGCCCTGACCAGGTCTGCAACAAATTTATATAATAATCCAACCATCCAACCCCGGCCATGCACAGATCAACTAAAAATCTGAATTTCTTCTCGATTCCTGTCAATATCAAAAACAGCAGCAGGGAATCCGTCACACAATCAGCTTCCCACAAACCCTTCAAAGTGTGACCGATCCGACCTCGGATCCGTCACAAACGGTGACCTTGACCAGGAGCAATGTATCCCCAAAAATGGCACAGTTTCCAACAGGATTCCTCTACATGTCAAAGTGTGACTGATCTGACCTCAGATCCGTCACACAATGCACCCTGCGACAACTGTTCAGAGTGTGACGGATCCGATCTCGGATCCGTCACACAATGCACCCTGCAACATTTTAGGACGGATTTGCACTACTTGTGAACGATGTGACGGATTCGAAGTCAGATCCGACACTCAGAGGTTACATCTGTGTAGAAGTGTGACGGATTTGGGGCTGGAGCTTGTACTTGGCTACTGGAGTGCCTAGCCAGGTGGCGACTCAAATCTACCCACACCACAACCATGTGTGACGGATTTGGGGTTGGATGTGTGACGGATTTGGGCTGGCCTGACTCAAAACTACCAACACCACAACCGTGTGTGACGGATTTGGGGGGTCCATTGTCCAAACCATGTCAGATTCTGGGGGGGCTGACACACAAACGTCATCACCAAAACCTGCAAAACAAATTAAAAATCCGTAAGCGAACCCCTCCAACTCACCCACCACCCCGCCGGTTTTCTCGGCTTTCGTGACATGTGAAGGTGGCCTGTCAGGAATCAGCCACGTGTGGCACGCCGTTTTGGCGCTCCCTTAGGGAGTGCCTTTGGCTTCGGGTTTGCCTGCCGGAATGCTCTTTGGCAAATCTTGATGGATTCAGCCCAAGGGATGCCTAGAGCCCAGGCTTCTGCAGCTGACTTCAGGGCCAAGCGCTTCCGAGCGGAGGCAACGTAATGCGTCACCTGGTCTCTTGCCTCCTTCGACTCGTTCGAGCCCAACCTCAACACGAGTCTAAATTTAAAAATTGCAACAACAAATTGTTGATATATTACTTGGATGTGTTTTATTCAAAGCGTGCACACAAAACATATTGAGCTTCGATCTTACGTATGGTTGCGCCACTGATACGGTTACAGCCGCTAAGTTTTTACGGTCGTGATTCTGCGTAGTATTTAGTTTTTTGCGCTCCCTTGCAGCCCGGCGGGGCGGGTGCAAGAACCAGCAACGTTGGACTGTAACCTAATGGACGCCGAGTAGCCTCAAAGTGCCAGGGTCAGGTTCAAAGCTTTGGGGCTGGGGCAGCGCTGTGGACAATGCACTAGTCACAGGTGTCATGGCACACCTGGGGCTCCACACACCGCAATTAAAATGAGACCCTTGCCTTGTGGGGCAAACCATGGAAACCCAAATCAATTTCAGTCTGACTGGCGGTCGAGAAACGCTGTTACATCAAGCAACGGCTCCAAAGGCAAGGTTCCCGAGACCCAATCTTTCAAGTACTCTGCCGCTTCAATCATGCCATATTCCCGAATGACTGGATAATACTTGTTGAGCACATCCTTCTTGAAGTCAGCTGGTAGCAGGTTCTTTGGGGCCAAGCCTTGCAGCAGTCATCAAAGCAAGAAATCATTACATCATCATCACCAGCACGATCACCATCATCATCCATGTTCGGAGGCACATGACACCGTCACCAACAATGCACTGGACAAGATTCGAAAAGTAGAGGCCCCTACTAGCTTTCAACTTGGGCGCTGTGATAACTGTCCCAGGCATATCTTTGGTGACTCTCCCCTCCAACTCCCTGACGCCACCTGCCGGAAGCCCCAATGGAAGTCGCACGCGAGCTACTGCACATGGGTAATACACAAGGTTGTACGTGTAACGCGAATCTGCCATGTTGTGCTTGGTCCTCAGAGACAACGTCTAACAGAATCAACGACATGCCTGCAAACCTTCGCACGCAACAACAATGGAACCAGAACCTTTGCATGCTCCCTAGAGTGTGCTCAACCCCTAGCTACAAAACTTAAATAGAGGTGCTGTTAATAGAATTATCATACAAATTACTTTTTAATGCAGAAGTGAAGTTGCCGCAAGATCACATCATTCGCGTGTGGTGCCAGTCTCCAAAACGGATCTGCTGACTCTCGAAGCTCTTCCACTCCTGAGCATTCGAGGAAGCGGAATGAACAAATTGCCAACAAAGTTGTAAGAAGTAACAAAGTTGTAAGAGAACCGCGACAGCTGCGTCAAAGCGTTTGGCGACTTCACTGCGTCAAAAACAACCTCCTCAATTTCCTGGCAAGGGTCCCAAGTTCTCACGCCGGTCCAGCTCGAACACATGCGGGGCGCGTGGCCCGCCTGTCCCCTTCAGAAAGACAGGGACTCCAGCCTGGTAAAACGCTCTCCTCAGAGTATGGCCAAAATGACAAAAACAATTACGTCAAGCGCCATTCAACGTTGCTACCACTGACAACAGTTACGCCCAAATCAGTTTAGAAGAACTCTTTTCACCTCAGACTCAGTTGTCATATCAATATGTAATACTAGAGAAAAGCAAAAAAGCCTTGGGTTAAGCGCAGTGTCCAATCACGGCATTGATCCATCAGAACGCATTCGCGATCTGGCTCGTGAGGTCTGTCTAGCTTCGAATGAAGCCAAGTGTTGATGATTGATCGGAATGCAATCGGGGAGGAAGCAGTGCGGGCGCTGCGGGCGATGTAGGACGCCAAGCGCCCGAATAGCTGATCGATGTCCTCATGTGAGTGCCCGGAGCGGAGTTGCCGCATCCGGGCACCCATCAACATTCCTGAGCATGTTTCAGCTTCCACTATCAATGGCTTTAAGATGCTTTAAGGCTGTTTGGTTCATCGCTACCCCAGAGACAGTTGCAAGGAAAAGTTTCAAAACAATGGCGACCATGAATCCGTGGGCTACAAGACTGGCAAGGAAGCGAATCATATGGTTGTTCTTAACTTCACGAGAAGTGTTGTCCGATTGCAAGTGAAATGTAACTCTTCTCAGGTTGACCTTCCTAGACAGCGCCTGAAGACAATACGCGACAAGCTCAATGCTTGAGTTGGCGTCTTTGCGTAAGTCTGATGGACTTACAGAGAATATCACACTGTGCCCATGAAGAATCGCGCCCACGATGTGAGCCTTGGGCCGATTCAGTCCTTGCAACTCTTTGGATCGAAACATGTCTGATCTTGGATATTGAAATTTGCACTGGTCTATTGCATCAACAATGCAAAGGATACCCATAGAGCCTTGAAGTCTCGATTGGGCCCGAAGGTCCCAATAGCAAAGGCGATCGCAATATTGACTGTGCAAGTGGTTCGCGTAATGGGTGATCTGGGCTTGCCGTGCTTTGAGGTGTCCAGCGAAACCTTTTATGAGTAGTTTGTGGCGGCAACAAGTTGAACATAAGGCATGACTTGATGTGGGGCGAAATTGCAGAATCATTCCATATTCTTCGTGCCAGATCCGCCAGAATGTCGAGAATGCAATCTTCTTGCCATTGCCATAGATACGACCACTTGGAGAAGACAAAAATTGGTCATAGTAATCTTTGATATGGCCTGGAGGTAGCCACCGCTTCTCATATCCGTTTTCTGGGCGTCTCTCCCTATTCATCGAAAGGCCACGCCGTTTGACTTGAATGCCTCTAGCTTTGGGTTTGGGCATCAATTTCGAGTCAACATTCGGGTCTCCCATGGCCTGTGAATGTGGATCAGGCTCAAGTTGGGGCAACTGCACTGACATGCACCCCTCTGTCAACTCTGCCCCGTCTTCCCACGCGTCATCCCTCACATCCGGCAAAGTTTCAGCTATTGATTCGTAGACTCCTCTAAGGAAAGAAACGACCTGCCCACGGGCACTATCACCATCACGCTGCCCTCGTTTTGGAACACCCTTCTGGAGATAGCGCATGTCGACAGGCGCAACGTGCTCACCCTTTCGGGCAGCTCCAAGAAGACGACCAAACCTGCTGGATCCTTGTTTGGCCACAAGTTGTCCCCAAAGGTTGTCTGGATCACCAAAACCAAAGGAACCGAAATGAACAAAGGCTACAATCAAACTAAAGAGAGAACAAATCTAGGCTTGCCTTCAATTCTAAGGATCCCAGGGAATGAAGTTTTTTCCAAGCAGCCACACAAACTTCTCTGCCTAGAAATTTCCACGTAGCTCTTGGACCGTCCCCAGAATCAGCAATGGCTCGAGAGATGCGGTGCAAAGCCTGAGAATGGGAAAGTGCTGTCTGTGACTTTCAGAAAAATAC